AAATGATAGCCAGACACAACAGTGTTCCTTTTAAAACTGCTGATTTCATTGTACTCTATCAAGCCATAAGTAAATTAGTAATTTTTCAAAAAAGCAGAAAAACAAAACTTCAAAAAACTTAACAAGTCATGTTCTAGTATTCCCTGAATTAGCTCATGTTGCTTTTTGTAAGAGTTCTGTCATCATTTCTACTTTTGGAACTTTTCTCCAAGTATTTTCTGAACAACTTTGTAAAGACATGTGCTGTATTTTAACAAAAAGTTGGAACTATGTTAACTCCGTTAGCAGATTTTAAAAGCTACTGATATGTTCCATTGATGGAATACTCTGGGGCCATCTAGCTGGTACTACACATCTGGCTCTTTCTCCGGGGCTATCTAGCTGTTGCTACACATCTGGCTCTTTCTCCGGGGCCATCTAGCTGGTACTACACATCTGGCTCTTTCTCTGGGGCCATCTAGTTGGTGCTATAAATCTGGCTTTGCTGATAGTGGATTCCATTATTTACTACAGGCTTGTGAAGCAGTACAAACATAATCTTACTGTGCTTAAAAAAGAGAAAGCTAGCCAGGCGGTGGTGGCCTACGCCTTTAATCCCAGCACTTGGGAGGCAGAGGCAGGTGGATCTCTGTGAGTTCGAGACCAGCCTGGTCTACAAGAGCTAGTTCCAGGACAGGCTCCAAAACCACAGAGAAACCTTGTCTCAAAAAACCAAAAAAAAAAAAAACCAAAAAAAAAAAAAAAAAAGAGAAAGCTAGCCTGGTGTGGTAGTACATCTCTAGTTCCGAAACAGGAAGGACATCTTGCCACTGCAGGAATTTAAGGCCTGCCTGGGCAACACAGCAGGACCAAGTTCAAACCAAACCAAACCAAAACGATAATATTCATATGAAGTCTAGAAAGATATAAGTCAAATGCAAATAAAGGTAATCTTATTTTGTTTCAATTTCTGTTTTCTTATTTTTTTTTTATTGTGAACATATCTTTGAGAATTAAGAAAAAAATCTTACTTTTTTTTGGAGAAGGGGAGAATAAAGACTTGAGCAAAACTTAAAAGTTAAGTAAAACCATATAAAGTTCATTTGGAAGTCGTTGTGTCTGCCAGGTTCTGCGCACAGCTCCCAGGTCTCTTCACAGATTATTTTGCTCTTGACTTTCCTTTCCTCTGAAAATCGCATTTAGTTATTCACTGGGAAATGCTGGACCAGATGGAAGCAGCTGATGGCACCCAGAGAGCTTCCTGGGCTTTGGAGGCTAGGAAGGTTGTTATGGATGTTGTTGATTTTAATAAGTTCTTGAGAGTACCGTAGCCTGGGCCCATGGTAATTCCTGGTAACATCTGCATGATTGGTGGGCATGGAACCAGAGCTAGCATGGATTACTCTTGATTTGTCAGGGGCAACAGGTCACTGGTGGCGAGACAATTATGGAGCCATTACTAAACAGGAAGGGCAGTGCACAGAACTGCTCAGAACAAAGACGGAATAATAATGCAACAGCAATTTATCTGATTCCTCGAACAAAAATAGCACTGTAAAAATAGAGGTTTAATCTGTAGTTTAAAAACAAGGAGATAATAGTTTTTGGTGGAATTTGAATTGAAGACAGTAGGTGGCAGTGTCGCTCACGTTAGGAAAGCTGGAGAGGAAGGGAGCACGTTTGAAGGTTCCCGAGTGGGGGGGATGCTTCCTTCTCCTGTGACCCCCCCCATTGTGCTAAGTGGCAGTAGTCCATAAAAGAACTTAAATAGACACCCCTCCGATATCGGGAAGGAAAAGCTTGTTGCCATTTCTTAACTTTTTATCTCAGAGGAAAAGTACAACATGATCATAAAGTTTAAATCATATCCCTGAAGACCCGTTTCATACAGTTTATGCTGTCTGAACATGTCCTCTGGCAGCTTTCCTTCCATTTAAAAGGAATAATGACAGGGCAGTAATTCATATGTAGTACCAGCTACAGCGGATGCCTCGTTAAGAAGGACTGTGTGCCATCTGTGGACACGAATGTAGAGGTCGGTGGAAAAAGGACCAGAGCAAAAGGGGTTGGTGAAATTAGACTGCGTGGGAGTTTAGTGGGCTGCAAGAATTGTGACGGCAGGTGCTGAAGGTGAGCTGTCCTGCAGTCGGCTGTCCTGTGAATTGTGTCTGACGATGTCCTCTGTGACCAGAAGAAAAGGAAAACAAATTTTTAAAATTGAATTTTGTTTGTATATGAGTGTTTTGCCTATTTGGATGTGTCTTGAATACCCTGGAGCTGGAGTTACAGACAGTTGTGAGGTGCTATGTGGGTGCTGGGAATTGAACCTCTGTCATTTGGAAGAATAGCTAGTGTTCTTAACCATTGACCCAATTCTCTAGCCCCGAGAATTCAAAGAGAATTTTGTTTTGTTTCACTGTTTTTCTTATAAAATATCTTGGGCAGGTAACTCTGTGAGTTCAAGGCTAGCCTGGTCTCATAGCAAGTTGCAGGCCAACAAGGACTAAATGTGGAGGTACCCTGGAATCAAAACGAAACAACAAACAACTCTGTCCATCAGTGGACCTAGTATACAGAAAAGCAGACTTCCCAGTGTCCTCAGCTTCTGTCCTTCTGCTGTCTGTGTCCGGGTGTCTGCATTCACCCCCTGGGAGCTGACAAGGAGCCAGGCTTCCCTGCTGGTTTCATCACCTTTGTTTCTGTCGGCAGGGAACCGGGCCTTAACTTGTCCACTCCTCATGTTCACCTAGCCGTGATTGGACTGGGAGGCCTGTCTGGCCCTCAGCGTCCAGGTTCAAGGAGGTCTGAAGTAGCTTGTAGCTTTCACATGAGGCAGCCTCTAGTTGAATCCTTTGACCACGACCACCATCCTGCTTTGCTAGTTCAGTGCAGTCATAACTTTTTTTTTTTTTTTAAATCTCTAAGAATGTGGAAACTATGTCTCTTTTTCTTTATATCTTCATTATTTAGAAAATACCCTGCCTGATTCATGGTTTATACTTATAAGATGATAGTTGATTAATGAATAAATTTTGAACACTTTATTTCATGGGCCCTGACTTTACTAACAATTTTGGGGTAATGTTTCCTAGTGGAGACATTAGCTATTGGCTGCCATAGGCTGTCCCTCTGTCCCGTACCTCATTTTATTCTGTCCTCTCCATTGTTTTGTCTCATTTTATCCAACTTTAGAAAATATTATGTGCTTTAATAATAATTCATACCATTATTTTATTACTGAAGTTAATTCATATCATTTAACAATATCATGGGTTTATGAGTGACTGGGTTAGAAGTATTTGCCATGCATGCCTGATTAATCTGAACTCACTCTTGCAACCCAAGGTTGAAGAGAAGAACCAACTCTTAAAGGTGTGTCCCTGACCTGTACACCTGTGCTCACTTGAGTACACACACACACTCTCTCTTTCTCTTTCTCTTTCTCTTTCTCTTTCTCTTTCTCTTTCTCTTTCTCTGTCTCTGTCTCTCTCTGTCTCTGTCTCTGTCTCTCTCTCTCTCTCACACACACACACACAAACACACTGATTTTAAAAAGTTCAATGTGGTGGTGCATGTCCTTTAATCCCAGCACTTGGGAAGCAGAGACAGGCAGATCTCTGAGTTTGAGGCCAGCCTGATCTACAGAGTGAGTTCCATATATATAAATCATGGCTGGGATGTAGCTCAGTGGCTGAAAACATGTGTGACATATATGAGGCCCTGGATTTACTTTCATTTTATGTGGATGTGGGGGGATGAGAAAGAATATGGATGAGAGTGGAGAGGGAACTGTTAACATCAATAGGCAAAATCTTAATAAAGGATTATCATCGTACGTATGAGGCCTTTCTGGTGCATAACCGAGAAGTGACGTATTCCTGAGCTGTCAGAGTTCCGAGTGTGACAGCTCTCCAGAGGGACAGTTACAGCATGGTGCCCGCCTGAGAGATTTCTCTTTGTGCATGACTTTTAAGGCAGTGTTTCCTTCCAACCAAACAGTATGTGATTTCCTATTGTGTTTACTGCTACTAGTCCATAGACTAATTGGTAGCTCTTTGGATATTACAAATTAGTTGTATAAATAATTTTACTGATTTCACTTTTCTTGAATTTATTCCAGTGTTTAAAGGGAATAATGCTTACATGGTTGACAGTGGTAACTTCTCTGGTTAAAAGTTTACATTTTAATAGCAGTCAATGTTATTTTGATTGACTCTGTGCCAATAGTATGTATGTTTATAACAATTGCTTTCAGTTTACTTAGGAAGTGAAGCAGAAACTGTGATCTTGGATTGAATATTTTTTCATGCTTTTAAGTCCTGTGATAAAAGGCAGACAAGTCTTAGCTCAGGAAAACTGTTTTGATGGTCATATTTTAGCACCTCTTTTATATCATTTCTTTGGAACATGTAATATCATTAAGAACTTGAGGTCTAAGGAGAAATATTTAATCTTTGTGGTCTTTTCAGATACTGTTAAAAAGCTCCAAGACCAAAAGCACGATATGGAAAGAGAAATCAAGACCCTCCACAGGAGACTTCGGGTAGGACGGATCTTCATGTGCTGCCTAGTACTGATATACTAGTGATTTATGGGTAGTAATTTTAGGGAGATTACTATGGGAAGGTATTACATTTTGAAAAGAAAATTTATTAACTTTTGATTTTAAAATCACAAACAAGGCTGTTTCTGTGTAAGATTTCTGCATTCTCTGGGTTGGGTTAGCTGCCAGCACCCAGGCTGCTAGGATGTGGAGGGAGAGAGTGCTAATCATAGACCTTGAGTCCTGACGCAGTTGTCCTGACTGCTTTCGTGGTATTAGAAAATTGCTTTGAGGTTGAGAGGGCTCATGCAAGGCCCAGCTGTGGCTCTGGGGGAAGTGAAGCCCCCGGGGAGACTTCTCTGCCCAGCCACACCCGCATCCTTCTTGTCTGTGGGAAGCTGCAGACCGCTCAGTTCCTTACAGTCTCTTTGTATGATTGTGTCTGCCTATATTGAGTTCAGTTTTTCTTCTGGCTTCCTCTTCCTTTTCCTTTACTTTAGTTTTTTTTTTCCTGCTGGTTTTTGATGTCAGAGTATTTATAGATTTTCACTGTATGTCTCACATACCATTTACACACCTTCACAAACCGCTTAGGTACTTTCTCATGCCATTTATAACAATTGTGAAGTGCCTTCCCATGCCATTTACACACCTTCACAGACCACTTAGGTACTTTCTCATGCCATATATGTACCATCACAGTACAGTTTATATACCTTCTTAAGAGTTCAGAGGTAAAGCTCTAAGTTTTTGATGTTATTTATTTTTGTAAGACTTGCTTTGAAATTTGCATGAGGAAGGGAAGGCTAACATTTTTTTCTCATTAATATTTAATGAGTACTCTGAATACTTGATGGCTCAGTAGGAAGACCAGATGGCAAGTCTTCCCTTCATTTAGAACAAATTCACTGATAAGAGCTGCTTTGTCTGTTAAAATAAGATAACAGCACTCTTGGGATTAAAAAAAAAAAACAAAAAAAAACTCACCATTCAAGAATATGACTCGCGAGGGCAAACTAATCATTAACAAATTTTACTGCTTTTAAATAAATCTCCATTACTCCTTTTTGGAAATAAAAATTAATCTTTTAATGTAGGAAGAATCTGCAGAATGGCGGCAGTTTCAGGCTGATCTCCAGACTGCAGTGGTAATCGCAAATGATATCAAGTCCGAAGCCCAAGAAGAGATTGGCGACCTAAAGCGACGGTTACATGAGGCACAAGAAAAAAATGAGAAACTCACAAAAGAATTGGAGGAAATAAAGTCACGCAAGTATGTTCTGAGAATCCAGTTGTGTGTCTCGGGATGGGCCTGTCGCTAGTGCTGTCTTGTCTGGACTCTGGCAGTCCACCACTCGTGCTTCTTGTAGACTGCAGTCTGGAAGCACACAGTCGGCTTTGGTCTGACCCTGCCTCTTGGTAGATGTGTGATCTGTTAACAGTCCTTGCCCTGTGCCTCGGTTCTCTCACCTGTGAATGAAGGCAATGTGAATTGATTTATAGTCTTATAAGAGTAAGTGAACTAATGCCTGCAAAGTGACCGAAAACTCGAGTTACTGGTTTTGGGAAAACAGCTGATCTGTTCAGTGTAAGTTTCTTTCCCTCACTCACTGTCGGAATTTCCATTTTTTCAGTAACCTGCAGAGTAGTACCCCCCACATCTCACAAAGGGATTACTGGAAATCCGTAAAGATGACTATATCAGGTGATACCTGTGACATGCTCAGTTACACAGTGAGGCTCCACCTGAGCGGGGGAGAGAACTTATGTGTTTGATGTTGTTATTATTAAGATTTGATTTTACTTCACTTTAAATAATTATTAATTAGGCATAGGGAAAGGCAATATATCTTTGAAAGGCTTTTATTTAATTAGTGCTTAGTTCTAATGTGTTGCTAAGTGTTTTTTTTTATTGGCATCCTTAGGCAGAACTTGGAATGAAGCTTAATGAATCTTCACTGGTATAAAGCTGGCATTACTCTTTTCTCTGTATATTATTAAATAAATAGTTTATCAGAAATGTCTCATTTGATAGTTAACCCTGAGTGATTGAACTTGGTTCTGCCTGTCCATCCACCCATCTGTCCACCCACTCACGGCCCACCCATGACCCACCCACTCATCCATCCGTCCATCAGTCCGTCATGCGGTGGGTTAATTTAAGGCCTTACACATGCCAGGCAAGTGCTCTATCACCGAGCCCTAAGATTCAGTTCTTGAAGGATCTTTGCACTGGATCCTGAAAGTTTACTTGTCTTTATATTTCAAAGAAATGCCTGTTAAAAGAGGCAGCATCTTGGGGCTGGAGAGGTAACTAAATGGTTGAGAGAACTTCTTCTCTTCCCAGAAGATCTGAGTTTGGGTCCAGCCCCCTTATCAGGTGACTCCAATTGAGGTCACCTGTTGCTCTTTTCTGGCCTCTGTGGCCCCACCCCCACCCCGTGCACGCACGTGTATGTGTGCACACACACACTATTGAAAAAGGAAGAGATAGCATCTTACAAGTAGTGATTATCAGAGTGATGTTTTTAAGTACAAAACTACCTAAATAAAAAGTGTGGGTTTCACTTAAAATATCCTTCTTAAAGGGGAAAGTGTTACTTTTACCAAATCCAGTCTTGTGTGACAAAATGGGAAGTGTGGGCAGGCACTTCCGCTAAACACAGTGTTTCCAAGTGTGAGGTGGCCTTGAGGTGGACACTGTGTGACCTTTCCAGTCTGAGCTGCTTTCTTCTCATGGAACAGCGTTTTTTTATTTGAGAATGATTGGGAGAGAAACTGGCTATTCAAACTCTGTTCTTTGACATTTTCTTTGAAAGTGATTAGGACCCTGTCCCATCGAGGAAAACGCCTGGTAGTATATGTTGTTGTTAATGAAATGTAGGTATTCAAGGGAATGGAAAACCTTTATCTGCCATTGCAAGATGACTTAAAAAGTTTTTTAATTATATTTCTTTATTTTGTGTGTGCACCATTCTGCACATGTGGAAATGAGAAAGCACCTTGTGGAATACACGTGTGTATTCTGAGCAGCACACTTGGGTTGTCAGCCTTGGTAGGAAACACCTTTGTCTGCTGAGCCATCTCACTGGCCTTAGAGCATGTTGATACCATCATTTAGCAAGTGTGACTCCAATGTATTATATGATTCAAGGATTTGAAAAGCCTCTGTATTGCCAGTATTTTTCTTATGATCAATATATGATGTTGCAGAATCAGATGGATAAAAGTCTTTCAGCGAATTTTAGTGGATAGGGTAGGAGAAATTTATTTACATGGCTTCATTTTCCACATTGAAGCTACTTTTTTCTTCTTGGCGTGCTGGTTCTCAGACACAGGGCCTCATCCATGCTCAACACGTACTGTCGTGCTACACCACGGCTCCAGCCTGCAGCTAAGCTTACCACTTTGGCAGTGCAGATTTAACCCAGGGCCTTCTACCTTTTTAGTCAGGGGCTCAGGACTAAGTTACTTTTCTAGCCTAGCAAAAATTTGGTAACTACCCATTGTTTCATTTTATTGTACTGAAAAGGTTATTAAAATATTCTTCCCTATTCCAAACACACGTTTGTTTGAGATCTGCATTTTTTATATCTCAGAAGATCGAATACAGAAGACATGAGAATACAGTTTTCTTCTAAGCAGTTAAATACATACATCATTTCTGTTTATCTGTCTATTTATTTTGAGACAGGGTCTCTGTAGTCTTGGCTGTAGCTCACTATATATATATATACCAGGCTAGTCTTGAATTGGCAGAGATCCACCTGCCTCTACCTCATAAGTGCCGGGATTAAAGGTATACACCACCACACTTGGCTAAATACATATTTTTTTTAAAATGTAAGACACTGTTATTTTTCTTAGCAATTTTTTTGAATTTGGAAAATAAAATTTTTAAAAATATTCTTAGATTTTTATTTACTTGCCCTTTTTTTTTTTTTTGAGATAGGGTCTCATTGTGTAACATTTGCTGATTTAGAATTCCCTGTATGTGGACCAGACTAGCCTAGAACTCAGCTGAATAAAATATTTCATGGTCTTAATTAATTTAATGAGCTTTTCCAGTCTTTGCAGGGATTCTCTTTCTGTGACAGTTTTGTCTCATTCTTAGGGAACTGGAACTTTTGGTTCTGTTCCGTTGTATGTGTACGCACAGTGCGTTGGCCTCTGTGATCTGCTGGTGAATTCCCAGGTGACTGAGAAGGGCTGTGCCTTCCTGGCAGCACAAAACCAGAGATTCCCAGTTGAGTCAGGCTGCGGCCAGTCTGCCTCCCGATTTACTGCTAATTGATTACTGATGTCCTCACCTGACACTTTATGAAAATGGAACTTGATGGCTATTTAACTTGCTTAGGATAACCTGATAGGAGCATTTCAGCATCATTTCCTGGTGTTTACCAGGCAATTGCTGTGTTCAACTGGTACAACTTATAAAAACAAAAAACAAACCCTGATACCCTTTAATGCTTTTTAATCAGGAATTTTAAAATGTATATATTCTCATACATGCAGATGTCTTTATTCCACTGTTTTTTGTTAGGCAAGAGGAGGAGCGAGGCCGGGTCTACAACTACATGAATGCTGTTGAAAGAGATTTGGCAGCCTTGCGGCAAGGGATGGGACTGAGTAGAAGGTCCTCGACTTCTTCAGAGCCAACTCCTACAGTAAAAACCCTCATCAAGTCTTTTGACAGTGCATCTCAAGGTGAGTCCTTGTCTGTGGTTCCCAAGACTTGTGCTTCTCTGTTTGCTTGACTTAGTTGCCTGATGTAGTTTGCTATTCTGTATCATTTTGTTCTGTTTCGTCAGCTTGCATATAGGGTTTATCATACAGTGCCATGTGCATGTACTGTCACATACGTCATATTAGGTGTCTTGAGCCAAAGCAAGTTCTGCAGGGGTTGGGATGCCTGGTCTCAGCTGCGCACCCTACTTCCCTTGCCCAGCAGTATCTTTTCTCCCTAGATGGATCACACTCATTCCTGGTTTCTTCTTTATGCGCAGACTTCCTGATACGTAACTCTAGCTCCTAACCTTCCTCCAAATTTCCTAATTCTGTGTACCCAAGTGCCTCATTGACATTGATACTTGAGCGTGTGTAGGCATCCTGTGTTTTCCAGCCTCATGGCTTCTCAAGCCTAGAGTCAGCACAGGTCTACTGAGTCACTGGGACCAGAAACCCAGGACTCTGACTTAAACCCTTTTGCTCACTGTCTGACTTCCAACGTGGACTTCTTTGTTCTGGTCTCTTTCTTCACTCTCAGTGACATCGACTTTAGTTCAGGCCATCTTCAGTTAGTAACCGGTAAGCTTCTAGTTTCCTCTTTTTGTCATCAAGAAAGTCTTTCTTGTTTCAAATGCTGTAATTATCTTATGATAGAAGGAAATGCAGATCAAGGTTGTGTAACCGCTGGGCTACTCTTCTTTTACCTTGTACAGCCCACAACACTGCACTTCAGGGTGAGAACCAAGCTAGACTCTTGATGAGGTAGCTCTTACAGCACTGACCCTGAAGACACATCTGCAGTCTTTCATAAAAGCTGTAGACGGTCTTATGTGACTGTGTGTGCGCACCTTATTGAGACAGGATCCTTCTGTGCAGCCCAGGATGACCTAGAATACTCGCTAAGTATCTCAATCTAGTCTGAACTTGTTATCCTCTCCTGCCTCAACCTCTGAAGTGCTGAGATTATAGGTGTTCACTGCCATGTCTGCCGTTTATTCTACTTGTTAAAAAGACATAAATAATGATGCTGGGGATAGAACCTGGAGCCTCTACATGCTACAAGTGCTCTACCCCTGAGCTGCGCCCCATCCCTCTTGTTTCCTTTCTTTAGAGTTCATTGATTTATGGAGTATTTTAGTCATGTTATTAAATAGCAGAAATGAAGTACTGACCTAGGAAAGCATTTGTCTGGTAGGAAAAGAAATACCTGTGTCATAGGCTCTGCCTGTGAGTATTCAGCATAGGTCAGGCATT